TCTCCACTGCTCTAGAATCCAGTGGTGGCGTGCTTTTCACCACTGCATCCAACGCTTTGCATTGCACTTGGTAAAGCAAGACTTGGATGCAGCCGCTCAGCCATGGAATCCCATTCCATGATGCTCTTTACGTACTGTTGTTGTGCTAATCTGAAGGCCACCTGAAGTTTGGAGGTCATTAGCTATTTACTCTGCAGGCAGTTGGCGACCTCTGCGCACTGTGCGCTTCAGCATGAGCTGACCCCTCTCTGTCATTTTACATGGCCTACCACTTCATGGCTGAGTTTCTGTTGTTCTCAGTTGCTTCCACTTTGTTATAATACCACTAACAGTGGAATATTTAGTAGCAAAGAAATGTCACGGATGGACTTATTGCACAGGTGGCAACCTATTACGGTACCACTCTTGGAATTCACTGAGCCCCTGAGAGCGACCCATTCTTTCACAACTGTTTGTAGAAGCAGTCTGCATGCCTAGGTGCTTTATTTTATACACCTGTGGCCATGGAGGTGATTGGAACACCTGAATCCAATGATTTGGATTTGGGGGTGTCCCAATACTTTTGGCAATACAGAGTATATGATTGTAACTAATAAGTGTGAACTATTTTTTATTGTATTTTTGTTGTACCCTTTTCTCATTTGGCCAAATCTCAATTATACTTCTTAATAGTACATTCTGTTGTCAAGTGTACATAAGATGTGGCTTATTTACTTTACCATATATTTGGTTTAGTCAATGTGTATTCGTAATTATATAAATAATTGACTGCAACTCACAAATATGCCCCTAAGTACTTTGCTGTATCATTAGTGGTACTTGTTCATAACATCATTGCAATGGAATTACTAAAGTTTGGAGAATGTGGATTGCTATGCACTATATGACATTACTTAGATCACCTGCATAGCGGCATACTTTACATAGACCAGTCATATCAGCGTTTGCCCCAGAGTTGCTTACAGTCCAATGTTCCAGGATATGAGAACTGCATAGGCACTTCACTAACCATAAGACCACTGTACTGGGCATATTTTTTCCCAATGTGGCACAGTTGGCAGGTGTTCCGGATGTCATTAATATATATGGCATGCACAGAATTTTTCTGTAAAAAAAAAAAGTGCAGTTGCTTTAAAAAAAATATTCATAATAAAAAGATTATACTTTAATTCACATTAGCCAGGCATACAGTAGATCGCATAACAGACGTTGGCATTGTCTTCACACTCTGAAACTTGAGGCTGGAAGTGTCACACATAGTAATAAACATGCAGAGGTGTTAACAGACTTATGCCATGAAAAATCTTTTCTGATAACTGTATGTGGTTAATGCTTTTAATTATAGTCATCAGTAATTTAATTCTTTTTTAATTTAATTGCATTTATGTGTATTTTTCACCACATTTACATGCAAGCTGTCCTCAAAAGTGACAGTGACAGGGGATGACTGGGTTACTAAAGCAGTTTAGAATCTTAACTAAAATAATTGTGTGAATATTGAGTTCACTTATCCAAACATTTAGCAAGCACATTTATGTTCACTTTGCACAACCCAATAATGTATAGAAGCTTTTCGGTGTGTATGGGATTATATAAAGGATAAGTTCACTTTTTGTATTTCATATTCAGGGTGTAACATGTTATGATTGGACCAGCCCCCCACCCTTTTGATGCTTGTCGTGACTGCTAGCGGGGATCTTCTCCTCTCCTCTAGCTGTCACAAAATTAAAAAAAACGTGGCAAGGTTCCGCCCACCCGGCTGCATCACTCATTCACTGTATTCTGTGAATGAGGAAACTATAAGTTTCAAAAGCCTTTGCGGCTGTCGTCTTGTAGTTTTCAGTGAACTACCTCGAGGCTCAATAGTTCATTGAGCCTTCTTGTCATTGAGTATCTGCTTGCCCGTATGGGATTACGAGCAAGCAGATATACTTACAGGACAAGGATGAGACCTGCATGGCCCCAGTGATGTGCTGACCGCTGGTGCAGTGCTTTGGAGGCTTCATAAACAAAAAATAATAAATGTGCATTTTTTACCATGCAAGAAAATTTGCATTTATTATTTTTTTTTGTTAAAAGGTGAACTTGTCCTTTACAGTGTAAACTATTTACATATTCTGAACACACAGTAAAGGAACTTTAAAACAAGCCATCACTGACCTCTCTAGCTGCTTATAATGCAAAGTAATTCAATCTCAAAGATCACAACATAGACTCTAGAGTTGGTTTTAGTTGGTTTCATAGCTTATGCTGCATGTGCTGTGTGTACATAGGGGGCTGGCAGGCTGCCAAGATCTTCCTTCATAGAAAACAACCCCTAAAATTTCACTGGCAGTGTTGTGAACTTTGAAAACGAAGGGCTCATTCACACAACTGTTGATGCCGTACATCGCCAAGATCAGAATATATCCGGCCAGGTGCCTAGGTTCATCTACATCTGCTCAGTCTGTACAAATCAATGAAAGGCTGAAAGGTAGAAATGTGCGACTCGTTTTGTTATTAATTGAAATTCGGAGAAAATTTCTATTATTCGGAGATTTAGATGTATCTGAATCTCCGAATCACAATAGTAATGAATTTCAGTGAATCCAAAATAAATTATAACGAAAACAATTTATTCATATGTTTTCATTCGGATGACTCGATGGGAGAGTTTGGGCCTTTGGCTAATGTTTGAAGCATCCAAAATCACATAATGAGGGATCCAAATTGATTCAGATCCTTTAATTTTATTCAGGTGAGGGTGGCATGGTAGTCTTTGACTCTTGGATAACCAGCCAATTCTTTTTGCATTAACATTTTTCGATATTATAAAAAATGCACTACATATGCAATGGAAACATATTGCAATAAAGTATAAAAGTGAAATAAAATTATTCCTACTTGAGGTTCTTGGGTTGGATGGAGGTGGATCCATCAGAATCATAACATAATGAATTAATTTGAAATTAATTTCATTCCATTCGTTACTTTCAGATGCACACAACTCCAATCAATATCGTCCAATCAGCTCATTCCATTTCTCTTTGTGAGTTGGGCTAGCATGGATGACTCAGAGTGCATACATAATCTCCCAAAACAGATTAACACATTAAAATGAATATATCCAATCTGCAAAAATAACTTAGGAAAATATGATTCGGACAAGGAATATATGAGACGAATCCAAATAATCAAAACAAATTCTAAAAATGAATCACTCTAACATAATGAATATGAAGAAACAAAATAATTTACTTAACAAATCCAAAACATTTTTTTTTAGTTTGTGCATCTCTACTGAGAGGCTCTACAGTTGTACACATGTAATTGCACATGAAACGATGACCATCAGTCAGGGACAGAGGAGCGCCCCTGAGCTTGAGCTGTCTGCTTCCAGGGGGCACATCCGCCCATAACCACAAAAAATTGCTTCATGTGGACAGCCTCTGCCTATGATTGATTTGCCCGGGCTTCTTCGCTGTATCTGCCACAGAAATACCTTCACATTAAAACATTAAATGTGCAAGTCTATCTTCTGGTACCAGTAAAGAATGTTATTGTTGAATGCAGATTGTTACATATGTTAATGGCTTAGTGTATGTAGTAGAAGTTTCAATGCAAAATAATTTACGCTCATGCAAGAGCAATTTACTGAATATGACCCCAGGTTCACAGCTAACAATCACATTAATGTTGAATAATGACTTAAAAGTAGCATGAAATCTAGAGTCATAGCAGGAGAGTACATATATACAAGAGGTATGCATTGTTTCTACCACAGATCGTATGATGTTAACCTATGAGCCTATTATATCTGTATATATAGTGCAAGTCTGTCTTCAAATACTGATGGCCAACCTTTTGTATGCGGAAAGAGCTTGAAAAATGTTTTTTTTTAATTTAGCAGTCATTTCATTCTGCCCTGAAGATCTCTGAAGCACTGTTTTTGAACTTAAAGTCTGAGGCCGGAGCAGTGCATGTATCATCATGGTCACATACACTGCTAGCCTTAAGCCAACCATAGATACAACCACCCTGTCTGATTTTTCATGCAATTTTTGCCAGCAGCTACAACCGCTAGCAATAATCAGTGTGTTCTCCCGGCAGGGACAGTTACCCCAACTGTGTCGATGGGGGAATCAAGTGATTTTCTTTCCTGCAGCCTGTGGTTCCAGGATAGAACATCGCATTGTCTATGGCCACCTTGAGCTGGCCATAGATGTAGATGGTTTGAATTTCAGCTTGTTCAGTGTGGACTGGCTGAGATTCGAACCATCTGTGGGCAGGCTGATTGTACCCAAGTCAATTGTACGACCTGAGTGCAACCAGCCAGTTGTATGTTTCATGTGTTTTTTGCCAGTGGCTATAGCTGCTAACAATAATCAGTGTGTTCTCCCAGCATGGAGGGCTTTAACCCCAGGCCCCCGCCACTGGGAAAACACAATAGCTCCGCAGGAGGGATTCAGTGCTGATGGGGAAATCAAGCAACTATTTTCCTGCAACCTGTGGCCTGCGGACTGTATGTTCCCTGATGCTTTGCACTGGCATTGATCAATATGCATATGTGCTCTATCATGGGGGGAAATACTTTACAATGTACTGCAGGGGAAGTGCTGTCAGAGAAGTAACTTGCTGATGTAATAGTATTAGCGCTGACATGTGCTAATGTGCTCCATACAAGAACACACTATGGACGGTGACTATGCTAGCCATACATGGAGACCATGAAGAACTAGCGTAGTCCCCCTTATACAGGAAGTCCAATAGCGGAATTTTATACATAATCTAAGCTTCATAATAGAACACTTGTAGGGAAACCTAACTATTTATCTGTGCGCAGGAGAACATAGTGCAAATGATTTAGATTTTTCCTATTTGGGTTCAGCTACGCTTTAATTTCTCCACAGTGCTTATACACTATATTGCCAAAAGTATTGGGACACCCCTCCAAATCATTGGATTCAGAAGTTCCAATCACCTCCATGACCACAGATGTATAAAATCAAGCACCTAGGCATAAAGACTGCTTCTACAACATTTGTGAAAGAATGAGTCGCTCTCAGGAGCTCAGTGAATTCAAGCATAGGTCACCTGTGCAATAAGTCCATCCGTGAAATTTCCTTGCTACTAAATTTTCCATGGTCAACTATTAGTGGTATTATAACAAAGTGGAAGCAACTTGGAACAACAGCAACTCAGCCACAAAGTAGTAGGCCACGTAAAATGACAGAGCAGGGTCAGCGCACAGTGTACAGAAGTTGCCAGCTGTCTGCAGAGTCAATATCTAAAGACCTCCAAATTTCGTATGGCCTTCAGATTAGCACAACAGTGTGTAGAGTGCTTCATGGAATGGGTTTCCATGGGGTCAGCATACTAAGACATTTTGGACAATTTCATACTCCCAACTTTGTGGGAACAGTTTGGGGATGGCCCCTTCCTGTCCCAACATGACTGTGCACCAGTGCACAAAACAAGGTCCATAAAGACATGGATGAGCGAGTTTGGGGTGGAGGACCTTGACTGGCCTGCACAGAGTCCTGACCTCAACCCAGCAGAACACCTTTGGGCTGATTTAAAGCAGAGACGGTGAGCCAGGCCTTCTCATCCAACGTCAGTGCCTGACCTTACAAATGTGCTTCTGGAAGAACGGTCAGACATTCCCATAGACACACTCCTAAACCTTGTGTACAACTGTCCCAGAAAAGCTGAAGCTGCTATAGCTGTAAAGGGGGGGGGGGGGGGGGGGGGGCAATTCAATATTGAACCCTACGGACTAAGACTGGGAAGCCATTAAAGTTCATGTGCATGTAAAGGCGGGGCGTCCCAATACTTTTGGCAATATAGTGTAGTTACAGTGATGAATGGGGGCTTGTTTTAAAATGCGTTTACTGCTTTTTTAGTATTGTACAGGGCACTGTACAGGAGAGATGTGTGCATGGGGTCAGTGCTTAAGGATGGCTCGGTAGAGAGGATTCCGTACCAATCTGTATGGCATCACCAAGCACAGGATCTCCTCCTTGATCACTACTGATACTAAACTGCTGAGAGCCTTCACTGAAAACAGTGTGACCTACTAAAGAATCTCTGCCAGTGGGAAGATGTATTGGCAAAAGGAGTGGAGAAGATCCTGGCTTGAGAGTGGCCCTGGAAGGCAAAACTCTCAAGGGAAACATAAGCACTTAATAACCTACGCTATTATAAGCAGTCATGGCGATTTGGTGAGTTCTGTAGTGTGGAGGTGGAGGATCATGGAGGTTATTCATGAATGATAAACACAGGAAGCAATATGACAAATGTAATAATACATTTGGAGGAGCTTTGCACAGCCTTGAGAACTTTCTTAAATACTTTGCATGGACACTTTATGCATGCACAGACACTTTTATATATTTGGTGTTGTATGAAATTTATTGGTTAAAGAATGATGTACATGTCAGTACTTTTTTGTGCATAATCTGGGCACAGGTGATTATTACCAGTTGTTTGAGTGAAGATTCCCAGTTACTTTAGTAATACAACCTCATTCTATAGCAAATGAAAAAAGAAAATCAAATACTAAATACTGTTTTTTGGCAATATTGCTCCTTTAAGCCATGTACCTTCTGAGGATAACAAACTCAAATAAAATAAAAGCAGCCTGAAAAACATTTTCTTTGCACCCAGGCTCAGCACGCCTTTCTAGATAAATCCACATAGCCCAAAGAACAACTATAGAGACAGCCTGTAGCCCCCTGGTCTGGGCATGGCTTTTATTTGTGAGCTGTAATGAATGTGACCCAGCATACAGCGCTTTCCTGCAAATCCGTCACACAAAAGACAACTATTTGTTCTGCGTTTATAGAAAAGCAGTGGGAAGCTTGTCCATTGTGGAGGAGTCAAATCGGACACAAAAGAAGAGGAATGTCACAAACAAGCATTTTATACACTGCCATAAACTGCCAGGGGTCACATCCTTTTAGCAATCTTTATACAGTAAGATCGGAAGAGCAGGGCTGGGAGAGAAAAGTCCCTGTGTTCATTCACAAAGCTTCAAACTTTCGGAGATGCTATCCCACGTTCTACTTCAACTGTCTTTTTATCTCTGATCTATGGATCTACTTAAAGATAAACTCTTGAAGAATAAAATAAGCCACCATTTAGTCTACTTACATTACAAAAAAAAGGATACTGGCAAAGTACCCAAATCTGTCCTAATTTCATCTTCCCACAACCCCCTGCCTAGCATCACTCATATTCGGAGTGGAATAGACAGCTTTCTAGCCAGTTAGGTTCCACTGAAGCACTGTCGTGTATCCCCCCCTCCCCCCCTCACTTTTGATTTACCTTATTCCTCTAACACTGAGCACTTCCTCAGAGGAGGAGAGAGTTGACTCATAATCTGATTAGTGGCTTGCTGTAACTTAATTGTCCAATCACAGGCTGAGGTTTAGATAGAACAGACTGTATTGCTCAAAGTGGGACTAAACCAGGGGTCAGCAAACGGTCGATGTTGGTCTGCCTGACGATCGCTGGCAGGTGACAGGTAGACCGGTAACAGGTCCCTGCACCGCCAACCCCTGACCTTTTGGTGCCGATCCCTCTCCCCCATTCCCCCAGCCTCCCTCCTCCACTGCTGTCATCCTCAGTGCACAGCGGAGAGCAGAAGGCAGCACAGCCCAGAATGGAGGGCGGTCCTAGCAACCAATTACCAGCTCATTAATATGAAAAGTTAATTTGGCTAGCTCCTCCTCCCACCCTCCGTCCTGAGCTGTGCTGCCTTCTGCTCTCTGCTGTGCACTGAGAATGACAACAGTGGAGGAGGCTGGGGGAAGGGGGAAGACATATCACACCATGAGTTCAGAACTGTGCTGCCTTCCGGTCTCTTCTGGAAGTAAGGTAGGATACCGCTTGGGAGGGAAGTGGGGCAGGCAGAGGACATTGCTAGGGGAGGGGAAGGGAGCCAGAGGTCACTGCTATGGGGGAAAGGGGGGGCAGAGAACACTAGTGGAGGGGAGGTGATGTGCAGAGGGCACTGCTATGAGTAGGGCCACCCATTCCCTCCCACCAGCAGTGTCCCCTCCCTACCCCTTCCCTCCCATGGACAAATATTTTAAAAATCTGAATTTCCAGCAAGTGGTTGGGGAATGGGATTCCCCCCCCCCCCCCCACACCCTGATGCCGTAAAGCAGCTGCCTAAGCAGCTTTATGCTGGCGCCCCAGGGCACCAGTGTAGAAGGGGACAGAAAATCCAAATCCCCAGACACTTGCTGGGAATTCAGATTTTTAAAATACCTGCCTTTCCACATTCCCTTTATTGTCCTCCTGCCTGCAGCAGCTTAAAGCTAGCATCTCTTCACTGCCCTGCTGTCCACTGCCCTACTGACTGACATTGTCCACTGCTGTACTGACTTGACACCATCCACCGCCCTACTGACGGACACTGTACATTTTTAAGGTAGGCTAAGTTTGTATTTTTACAGTGATATTTGTTTTATTTTATTTTTCTACATTTTTTTACTACACTGTTCAAATAAAATTAAAGGAAGACTTTGAAAACACATCAGATCTCAATGGGGAAAAATGTCATGCTGGATATCTATACTGATATGGACTGGGTAATGTGGTAGGAATGTAAGGATGCCCAATCGTTTGATGGAATGAAAATTATCAACCTACAGAGGACTGAATTCAAAAATATCCCGAACATCAAAGTGAAATAATGATACAGCAGGCTAGCCCATTTTACTGAAATGTTATTGCAGCAGCTCAAAATGGTACCCAGTAGTTTGTATAGCCCCCATGTGCTTGTATGCATGCCTGACAATGTCAATGACAATTCTCCTAATGAAATGACGGATGGTGTCCTGGGGTAATTCCTCCCAGATCTGGACCAGGGCATCACTGAGCTCCTGGACAGTCTGCGGTGCAACCTGGCGTTGTCAGATGGTCTGAAACATGATATCCCAGCAGTGTCCTATTGGATTTAAGTCAGGAGAGCATGGGGGCCATTCAGTGGTATCAATTCCTTCATCCTCCAGAAACTGCCTGCATGCTCTCGCCACTTGGGTCTGGGATTTCATCCCGATACCTAATGGCAGTCAGGGTGCCATTGTCTGGCCTGTAGAGGTCTGTGCGTCCCTCCATGGATATGCCTCCCCAGACCATCACTGACCCACCGCCAAAACAGTTATGTTGAACGATGTTACAGGCAGCATAATGTTCTCCATGGCTTCTCTAGACCCTTTCACGTCTGTCACATGTGCTGAGAGTGAACTTGCTCTCATCTGTGAAAAGCAAAGGCTGCTAGTGGCAGACCTGCTAATTCTGATGTTCAATGGCAAATACCAATTGAGATCTATGATGCCAGGCAGTGAGCACAGGGCCCACTAGAGTACCCTCATGAAGTCTGTTTCCGATTGTTTGCTCAGAGACATTCACACCAGTGGCCTGCTGGAGGTCATTTTGTAGGGCTCTGGCAGTGCTCATCCTGTTCCTCCTTGCACAAAGGAGTAGATACTGCTCCTACTGATGGCTTAAGGACCTTCTATGGCCCTGTCCAGCTCTCCTAGAGTAACTGCCTGTCTCCTGGAATCTCCTCCATGCTCTTGAGACTGTGCTGGGAGACACAGCAAACCTTCTGACAATTGCACATATTGAATCGCCATCCTGGAGGAATTGGACTGCCTGTGAAACCTCTGTAAGGTCCAGGTATCGCCTCATGCTACCAGTAGTGACACTGACCCTAGCCAAATGAAAAACTAGTGAAAAACAGTCAGAAAAGATGAGTAGGGAAAAAAATGTCAGTGGCAACCACCTGTAAAACCATTCCTGTTTTGGGGGTCGTCTCATTGTTGCCCACCTAGTGCACCTTTTGTTAATTTCATTAACACCAAAGCAGCTGAAACTGATTAACAAACTCCTTCTGCTACTTAACTGCCCAGATCAATATCCCAGGAGTTTCATTGACTTGATGCTATACTCTGATGAAAAAGTCTTCCTTTTAACTTTTTTTGAGCTGTGTATTTGGTTAGGTCTTGCTAGTTAATCTTTTTTTTTTCTAAATGGCGCTGCGCCCTTGTGATCTTTGATATCTTTCATGTTGTTAATGTAGATCTCCACCTCTCAAAGGTTGCCTACCCTGGACTAATCCCATTAATTTAACTATTTTCTAACTATTTTTTAAGGCAAACTGTGATGATAACTGTCACAGTTGCTTGTGCTATCAATGGAACTATCAAGCCATCAAATGGCTGGTGTCACAACTGACCATGTGCAACACAATGGCAACTGCAGATTCAACAGAAGCAGTGGCAGTTTTTCTTGCCTCGATGGCAGTTTCCTTGGCGGTAAAGGATTGGAGAATTTTGTTCCACTTTAATTGCTACCCGTTC